ATGCTTGCTTTGAAATCTTAATTGTTGAGATAATATTAGTTTTAAACAATTTTATCAATGTGGTCCCCTTTCCCCCTCAACATTGTCTCATTTTTATTATGCAATCTTTTTTTTCTTTAATGAAAAAATCTAAAATAGTAAATTTTATATATGAAATTTATTTTTAATATCCGTTGGTAAAACGAATAAAAGCAAACTATTTATTTAGTACAGGCCTTTCAAATTATTTTCCAATTGAAAGTAATAAAATTTATTCCAATAATTGTACTAGTTTACATATGAAATAATAAAAAATAATACGATACCAATATTAACAATGCGTAAGTGCACAAACAACAGGAAGGCATTTGCTTTGGAATTGGCATGTCCTTTGCAATATTTCCAAAGAAACGAAAGAAAGAAGTCAATGAGTCCGTACGCCTCATAAAGGGAAATGTGTACAATAAATTTGCCTTTAACAAAGGAAGCAAAAAAAAAAAACATATTAAAAGTTTATGTAATTTACCGGAAATAAACTGTTTAACGAAGTGTAAGGACTTTTTTCTTTGAAGGCATAAGCCAAAGTGTATTGTTTGGCAGGACTTTTAATCTTCCTTCTATCAACATACGAAATGCCTTGCGCCTGTGTCGATATTCACTTTGATGTGTGTGACACATAATGAATTGTGAATTTCTGCAGAGTTTGCTTGATTGGTTCTCGTAAAAAGAAGTCGAGCAAAATGACAAATTATTTAATCTACATATTCTTAAATCAGTTGTTTGAAGAGATAACAAAATAATTTATATTTAAATCATTTCATTCAGTTACTTCACATGTATTTGACTTTGGTATGAAAATATAACGAAATGGAGTATGTATGTTGAATCAAAATTTATAATTTCTTCTCAAAAGTAATTGAATTATGTGGTTCTTTATTTGTGTTAATTAGGAGACAGTACCCTCCTTTCTTTCATAAAAGTGAAAGAGAACCTGAACAAAAAAGATTACTGGCATAACTTACCTGAATTAACACAATACAAATCAATTATTGGTACCTATAACAATAGTAGATACCACTATATAAGTCTATAGAGACTTATTAAAAGAAACTAAGAAAACTTAGAATCATCACAGGACACTGTAAACTAAACCTTACAAGACTGGGAATTTATACGGATGAAAGGTATAGATTCTGTGAAGAGAATAAAGAATCCGCCACACATAGTGTTAGCATGCCCTGCGCTAATGCATAGTCTATTCTACGAATAGACTCCTGGTAATGTTTATTCTTACGGAAGAGGTAATAAAACTTTGTAACGTTGGTTCTATACTATCTTTTAGCAAAGTAACAGGGCTTAGAGATTTACTTTAAACCAAAAACGGGACACAATAGACTCAACGATCGTAGTATCATATCCTATATTAATAATAATTTAATTTATTTTTTTTGTTAGAAAGCCAAATGAGTTAATATTAAGTTAAAACTATAATGAGTTCTGATATTCTACCAATAAAGTTGTTATCGTCAATGTATGTAAAAATGTGGACACATTTGTAGAATATTATACCAGCACGATGAGTACATTTTCTCTGCAGGATCTCCTTTTTGCTATGAAATTTACAATCTCACGGGATAAGAGATTATCGTGGTAAACTTCAGCATAGTACGAAACAGATTATAAGGATTGAAATATACAGAGAGGCTTATAGTTCTCTAATAATATCGAAATGTCTCATAAAGCTATTGAATGCTGTTTAATACTTAACGAAATTTAATATTAAATTGCATTATTAGAGGACATTGTGAACAATGTCTATTATATCTGATTTCCCAACAGTTGCTGATGGTAGTTGTGTCACATTTATCAGCATTTTGGAATAAATATTAATTTCAATCTGTACTTGGTAATTCTTTGTTTTTCACGGCTTAAAGCTCTGGTGATCAAATGCATGCTGGACTTGTTTAACACCTTTCTATATGGAGTTATATCTGAAGGTAAGCGCTTAAATTGAATTGGATTGGTGTAGACACCAAAAGGTGTCTCCAAGGACTAGAAATAACTTATATTTAGTAGTATCAGTACCAACTATTGAATTGGATTAATATCTGCAGATAAGCGCTTGAATTGTGTAGACACCAATAGGTGTCTCCAAGGACTAGAAATAACTTATATTTGATAGTATCAGTACCAACTATTGAATTGGATTAATATCTGCAGACAAGCGCTTGAACTGTGTAGACACCAAGAGGTGTCTCCAAAGACTATATGGCATTCATATAAAACTATATGGCATTCACTTAGCTAAGAGTAGCATTTTTAAAATTTATAATAAACGCATTATTATCACTAATTATATAAAGAAATCATTAATTAGTTTTAAAGTGAAAATTGAAAATTGAAATTGATATTAAAAATTTTTTCATCTACTCTTCAATTTAAATGCAGTAAATAATATCTTTAGCTGTGATAATGAACTGTAAATTACTCACTTATTCATTAATTAGTTTCAAAGTGAAACTGAAATTGATATTAAAAATTTTTCAACTGTGGGCAGGTATTTCATCTATTCTTCAATTTAAATGCAGTAAATAATATCTTTAGCTGTGATAATGAACTGTAAATTACTCACTTAATTAATATGAAAATTTTCCTTAACTTAAACATTAAAAGCTTAAAAATTTTATTGAACACGTAGCCGTATCCTTTCATTTTGCCGATGGCCTTGTAGGCTTCATTGCTTTCAATAGTAGTTGGCCCACTTGTGCCTTCCTCGAGACTGTTGTGCTGGCATCTCAATTAGTTGCTGCATATTGGCCATGTCATAATAATACTAAAATTTTAAGTAGATTCCCTGAGAAATTTCCATGAGCAAATTATAAGTATAAATGGCATTCACACAAAAAAGGCTCACAATGCGACGCCGGACGTCGTTATGGGGCGTTATGGGGGTAAGGGTCCTTTATCGTACGCTCGTACGCTCTTACGATTCAACGCTAAAGCATTGAAAATATTGCAAATTCAATTTTTACCTTTTAATGAAACATTTAATCAATTTTAATTAAACTGCTTGTTTCAAAATGAAAACTGAATAAATGTGCAAAATGTGACAAAAACATGTCACAAATGCCATAAATCATTTACAGAATGAAATGCAGACTCGGCAAACAAACACAAACTATGAATGAATGTGAATGTGAATGTGAATGTGAATGTTTTCTGTAAATTAATTAGCAAATGAACGGGCTGAGGACGAAATTAAAAAATGTGAAATAAAACTTTTTGTTTGCATGGCGGAAATGTATTTGTTACGAGTTGAAAATTCAAACAGGATATGAACATATGGGCATTTTTAATTTGATTCCACACCCTTCCTGTCCTGAGCGGTGCTGAAGCACCAGCAATCAATAATCGCATGAATATATGCGGAGAAGTGCATTAAAAAACGACCAAATCAGGAGGAATCCTTTGGTGCACTTATTTGTAGAATATCCTGAATAAATGAACGATTGCCTAACTGACTGCCTGATTGAATGAGCGATTGAATAATATACTAACTAACTTATAAGCTGATCAGTAATTCAACAGTATTTCTATGATTTTATTTTATTTTGCTTTTATGACTTAAAATGATTCAGTTTTTTAACAATTTTTAAGCCTATTTTATTTTAAAAAATAAAAAGAAAAAAGGAAATAAGAAAGAAAATAATAATAAAATAAAATAAAAAAATAATGACAAAAAATTCACTATAATTAAGTTTTGCATTTATAAAAACTAACTAAAAATAAATATAATAAATTATTTTTAGCAACAAAAAAAAAAAAGTTTAATTAAATAACTGTTATAAATAAAATATAAAAACTTGTTAAAATATACTTTAAAAAATGTAAATACCCGACTGAAAGATTACAGCAACTGAAACGTTGCCCACTCCGGATTAGGACAACTCGTCATGTGTCGTAATCGTAAACTCGTAAGCGTATTATATTGTTAAATACTTTTTAGTGCTTAATGCAGTTCCTAATCTAAATTACCTAATAGAAACATACGGATTGCAATATATGAGTTAAAACCTGCTTCTTTTGAATCCGGCCCTGCGCTTAACGGAGTAATCATCCGATATTATTCGAAAGCATGACTGCTACTAAACGGAACATCATCTTGTTTGTCTGGAAAAGTCCCGTTTGGCTTCCACTCCACAAGAGTGTGATCGTTCACTTTTACTTGGGCTACTAACCGGACTACACGTTCAATATTTATTCAGTTTAAAAATTATTTAAACACGTGGAACATAAACCATGTTTTAAAATTAGAAATGAAAAAATTAAAATATTATCAACTTATACATAAAATATATACACAATTTAATTCAAGAAATACGTAGTACTATTCCTTGATCACAAATATATGCTATATATATAACAAAGTGCTGTTACGGAACGACCGCTAAAACCTCAACCCAAATGAATTCAGTATTATAGATACTCTAGAAATTGAGCACACACAATAACCTCATCTATTTTTTGATATGATAAATATTCAATATTCTTATTTGAGTCATATATCGAAACGAATTTTGTATTCTGTACTTCTAGTTTGTATATAGTAAACACATACAGTACTTTTCTAATTATTTTTTTAAGTAAACTTGCACTGTTGGTGAATCTGGACCATACCTTGCAAATCATAAGAAATTTTTTAAATCTGTGTGACTTTCGCTAAGGAAAAGTTTCGTAAGTGAAAAAACCACCACCATAAATCTTAAAGTTCTATAATAAATCTTGGACTACTATCGTAATCTACAGACCACCACCACAGTTAGAGCAATAATTCCTTTGCTCACACTTCAGACCTATTAAAAAATCTGTTGCAATATAGCAAAAAGGCGCGGATTATAATTAAGTATGTTTATATATTAATATATAAAAATCCTATAAATATACTTATACCTAACCGTAAGCCGTTATTTATTTCTATTTAAATTTATAAACAGTAATTGCATTACTAAATGGGTACTTACCAATTTAGATCAGAGCTTCAATTGTTAAATGTAGTTATCTCATTAATACTGATAGCACAACTACTAGTTCTCTCATCTTATGCGTTAAACGGCAATGATCCAAAAATTAGTACCTGTATTTTTTCTATCTTAGCGATTAATCACCGGTATCTCAAAACTTCTCAGTAATTGTTTATAGTTTTACGTTATTATTATTATTTTACTATTATAATTTTTTTTTGTTTAATAGCTTTTATTCGAAACCAAAGATACTCTAATCACAAAATAGGTGATAGGTAAATGGTAGATGTAGATGTGTCAAAATGAAGTAATGCAGAAACCAATCGATAAAAACCGATAGTAATAACAATTTTTTTTTTCAATGACGTTTATAGTTTCGATATAATATAAATTTATTTCTTGACAGTTGATTTTACAGAGATTACACCGTCGCAAATATTTTGATGTAATAAACGCCATGCAATTTAATGAGCTTATTTGTTACTATGTTTACACTAAAGCATGATATACCTGGTCCGTATACTTGTTGTGCGTACATGTAGTACCGCCTTAAGACTTCTGGAACCTCTTTGAACGAAGTGTTTCATAAAGGTTTTGTACGAGTAAAGTCAGTGTAGCATTTTTGAGTTTCGAAAGGGATGTTACGGTCTCTCAGATGCTTTCATCTGAGTGAAACAGATAACTCGTGAAACAGTTCTATTGTATACTAAAATTATATTCCCATAACAATACACCAGAATAATATATTTTAAATTATTTACAATAATTAAATTGTTTGTAAATATTGCTAAATACTGTGACAACAGTCTTTAACGCACACACTTCACCAGACGTTTTTGGTTTGTCCAAAAAGGTTTTTCTTGTTCCAAGTAATTTGGTTCTTTTTAAAATTTGTTCAACCAAGTGGGATTTCTGTTAGTTTTCATTGTATATATAAGAAATCTTTAATATTATTGCATACAAAATTATTTTTAATTTTAAATTACTTGAGTAGCGAAGTAAATATTCATATATTATTAATGTAATATATTTCAGTATTACTTAGGAGTGGTTGTATTTTTTTTTGTTTGACTTGTTGACTTTTAGATAATCTCTTGTCATTCTTTTTCAGTTTTTTTTAAAATATATGAAGATATTTTTTTCTTATTTTCTTATTTTTCTTTTTTGATTTATTTCAAATAATTTTTATTAACATTATAACATTTTAACGCACACGCTTTACCAGACGATTTTGGTTTGTCCAAAAAAGGTTTTTCTTGTTCCAAGTAATTTGGTTCTTTTTAAAATTTGTTATACATAATATATATATAATATTTATATATAATATATTTCAGTAGTTTATTATTATTTTGGAGTTTTTGTTTTTTTTTCTGTTGGACTTGTTGACTTTAAGATAATTTATTATCATTCTTTTTCAGTATTTTTTTAATATATATGAAAATATTTATTTTATAAGATTTTTAATTCTATCTAACTGACCTGAATACTGTATTGTAGCAGCATTTTGATAAAAAATCAAAGTGAATTGACATTTTCCGAATGTCATGTATTATTATTCTTAGGGGATGTGACACTGCGACCGTCGGATCTATTGTGCCCCCTTTAGGGTTCAGAGTAGGTCTGTCAGCACTGTTGCGTCAATAAAAAGTAGTATAGGACTTACTATACAGAGTTTTATTGTCTCTTCCGTATGTGTAATAGTGCAGGGCACTCATCTCTAACAGCAGATGAGTGACTGACACCTCATTCCCTTCGCAGAATCTACAGTTTAACATATAATCGTATGTATGCCCAGTCTCCGAATGTCATAGTTCTGATAGTTTTTTTATTAGTATTCAAGAAAATGATTATAGAAATATATAATTTGTGTCAGAAAAGTGACGAAAATGGGGCACTTCAACGTATGCTATAAATATATTTTTAAAATGCGGAAAAAAATGGAGTTGCAGTATTCGGGGAAATGAAGGGAGAGCAAGCTTAGACACTAGTGTTCAACTGCACATTGACTTAGGAAAATGGAAATTTAAAGACTTGAACAATGAAGCAAAATTTCCAAAACTTACAGAAACTGTAAAACTAAAGGCAGAAGAAGGAAAACTCAGAAGCTGAGGAAAAGATTCAGTGCAAAGGATCAAGTAGAACTAAATGAATTTTACAATTGAATAAGGATGCACATTATTTGTGTTAAATTGAAACAAAAATTACGGTGACGATTTCGTTACAGTAGAGGAAAAAAAACATTGAAAGAGGAGATGAGAGAGAACAAAAGATGAATTAAATTAGTGCAGCAAAAAAAAAATAAAATTGTGGAAAAAAATGGGGAAGCACACACATAAAGACGAAAAACGAATTATATAAAAACAATGAAAAAAAAACTCAAAAATAAACAAAAAAAAAGAAAAAATCAGAGGAAATGAAAAATTTGCATAATCAGTGTTGCTAATTTGCATAAGAGAATTGAATCATCCATTAAAAGCGAATGTTTTGAAAATTACAAAAGAAAGTTGGGCAAAAAATTTCAGAGAATGGCGGAAAAGGGCACAGAAGTGAAAATGGTTACTAATTGAGTTGAATGTAAAGTAGGAAGCATAATGTCGAGTACGGCTCAGCGAAAGTTTTTATGTGGTTTGCAAAAGATTTACTATAACAAATTCAAATTTACAAATTTAATCACTTAAAGAAAATCAGACTGCAATTTTATATATTTTGACACAAGAAAAAAAAAGAGAACAAAAAAAAAATTATGATGAATCCATCTAATATAACTGTTGTATTATTATTATTATTATGTAGGGAATACTATACACCGCAACTATAGTAGGCTCTTGTCTTGATCTATCCTTGAGCGCACCTCGGATTGTTTGTTTTATTCTATATATTTCTCGAAGAGACAATGATTCTTTTTCCAAGCTAAATACTTGATTTAGACTGTAAAATTTTAAACACTAAAAGAGTATATTGCTTGAGACTTCAATATTCAGAACTGCCAGTTATAGTAAATGGAGTAGAATATAAGTATATATATATAAGTATATATATAAGTGTAAGTACATGCAAATTACTACTTTTTTCAGTATAACTTCTGTCTCTTTTATATATTTTCTCATGATTTTATATTACAGTTTATGCGCCTAATTAAACACTAATTACAATTTGATAATGAAATATCTAATGCGGTGTATGCATCTAAATGAACTCTAATTACAATAAGGTAATGCAATATCTATTACTGAGATAATGAAATCTAAGTGAACACTAATTACAATAAGATAATGAAATATCTATTACACTCGCTGTATGCATCTAAATAAGTGCTCTCCACCGCACGGACCACGACCCATGGGCCTCTTGCGGTCATTGGTTAATATTTGTTCGGCCCGCGATATCTTTCTAATCTATCACGAATGCTACGATTTTGATACTCTTTGGTTGTGTCTTAATTCAAAAGGTATTATTTTATTTGTGTATATACTAATATTTAGTGTAATGTGCTCTTAAAAGGTACTAATTTTGACATTTACTCGTGAGCAACACTGTTTTGACTAAATATGGAAAGTATTGTCACTGTAGCTGTCATTCTTAAGTTTGTTGCACTTTTAAATCAAATCATATTCTTCCAGGCAATCTTAGTAATCGGAAATTAAATTAATTTTTTTTAAAAATCTAGCTTATAAATAAAATTTTGATAGATTCAGTTGAAAGTTAAATATAATAGAAGCAGTTTTACTTACGCTTAGTTAAAGCTTTTTATTATTAAAACTTAGTGCAACAGAACTTAAAACGCGAGTATACATAATTGTTGTTATTTAAACTTTACTGAAGAATTATTGAGAACGCAATACCAATAGAACACCAATAGAATTTTTTCAAAGGTAAGTGGTGAAGCCTTTTATATATTAGCCAATTTTTTTTATATATATTATTTATATGATCCGAGCACCTAGTTCTGAAACTAGTATTGATGTCTATAGTCTAACGATTTTTATCTGCAATCTGCAGACTTAACATATTTACTTCTATATCTTGTACTCTTTACTTCCGCGGAAGTCTTCTTTTCCTACTTCCTTGATTTCAAACAAATTCATTCGTGATTTCTTCGATATTCATTAATCGGACGTGTTAAGATAATTCTATTTTTTTTGTTAAGAGCTTTGTTTGTGCAAATTCGGTACTCAGGCTTTTTTGGTTGTAAAAATTATAATACCTTTTTTCGTGATTAAACTTATTTAAAATAATGCTGTGTTCTTGAAGCTTTGCAAAATAGAAAAAATAATTGTGTTTTTTTACACAAAATAGAGTCTAGTATTAACATTTATTTCGCGTAAAAAAATGACATAAAATTTTATAAAAAACATTTTTTACAAATTTTTTGACATTTTAGAAAATTTTTCAATGTAGAATTTTATGTCAATTTTTCTTTCAAAATTAATGTCATCAAATGGTTCCACGACTCATAACCAGTCGCGTAGACAATTTTTCACTATAGCGATGGGATTTTTTATAAATATTTTTTTTTTGACATTATTTTTCTATTATCTGTAGTTTGATTTGTGAGAGACATAGTGAAGGGGTAGAAGAGGAAGGGGTAAGAGGGGGTTGATCTCCTAATCTACACATTAATATGCAACTACTCATTAATGTTATATTATTTTCATAACACATAAATTACAGATTACCGCCAGTTGAAGTTTATTCTGATTATATGTTAATATAAGGTTTTGGCTATTTATGGGTTAATGCGAGGTCTGCATAATGATATGTCGTTACGAGTAAATACGAGTAAATACCCGTCATTTTTTTGCTAAGCAAGTATTTATAGTATTCGATACTTTTATATGAGTAAGGTATTAGTAAAAAGTATCAATGTTTCATTTCGATATCGGATGTCCTTGCCCTTGGGTAAATTGCTGCTGTCAGATAATTAAAGTAATGTTTAAATTTTGACACATATTTGGTTTGTACTTTTTATTCTGGAAGTTGGCGGAGACAGGCCAATGTAGATACATTTTATTTTGTGTTACCATTACTGATATAAATAATTACTAGAAACTTAAACGGGAATAGTAAATATTGCCATGCATAAAACTATGAATCCTATTAGAAAAACAATAACTGGTAGACTATCATATATCTCATTATTAGCTTGAAATCTTTATTTATTAATAGAATGAGGTTTTCAATATTCGCACTAAAAGGTGCTGTTTCAATGCATATAAGATATATCTAAGCTTATAAAGTCTAAAAACATAGTAGTTCCAAAACGTAACATACACTAGACTTGAAGAAAAAACCGAACGGACAGATGAAAAGCAACCAGATAAACCATGCCAAGCTTTTGTGATAGAATATTCGCAAGAATATATATATACATATATATATATATATGTATTAAAACGTTTATGGGGTATATAGCAAAAAAAAATTTTTTTCCTCATTCATGAAGAATGCCAATGTATAACAAGTATATATTATGAAAAAAATTTTTTTTAGAACTTGTCAAAATTTAGACAAAAGCAAAATAGATATATTTAAATAGTTGGCTTAGAAGATTTAAAAAATTTACTTATGTATGAGAAGAAAATTTTGTGTCATAATAATTTTTTTTCTGATGCAGTCAACATCTAAATAAGAAGCGCTAAAAAGATAAGTAAAATAAGTAAAAAAATTTAATTTTATATATTATTTACAGTTTGAGGAGAACATGCAATAATGGATCAAAAAGAGAAAAAAGGTAAGTCCCTTGGTGGAAAACCAACAGACACTTCTCAATCACAAACAAAACCAAACATATCTCCAACATTGAAAGAAAAAGCAGAAGAAGACTCTGCAGTTCAAGCTGTGCAAGAATCTGCAACAACTATAGCAAAAAAAACTAATATTGGATCAAAGAAAGTGGTTTATCCACAACAAACAAATGTTAATATTAAAAAAGTGCAAACTAAATGCACCGAAGAAAAACAACCTGAAGAACCGTTGCAAGATCCTTTGATGGAACGTCCAGGAGGATCTTCAGTAACTCCAGCTAACAAAATAAATATTGGCCCTAAGAAAGTAGTTGATCCAATACGCGTCAACGAAAATACTAAAAAAGAACAATTCAAACAGATAGAAGAAAAGCAAGCTGACGAACCATTAGAGGGTCCTTTAAAGGAAACACCACAAGGATCTACAGCAGCTCCCGCAAGGAAAAGGATTATTGAATTGAAAAATGCAGGTACTTCGCAGCGTGCCAATGTTTATACTAAAAAATGGCAAACTAAACTAACTAAAGAAAAGCAACCTGTTGAAATAGTGCAAGGTCCATTGATAGACCTTTCTCAGGAATCTACAGCAACTCAGGCAAACAAAAATAATATTGTGTCCAAGAAAACAGTTCAGCTACAGCGAACAAATCCTAATACTAACAAAAGGCAAACTAAAGTTACAAAAGAAAAGCAGCCTGACAAACCATCACAAGATCCTTTAATGGAAACTACACAAGCTATTTCAGCAAACAAGAACAATATTGGTTTCAAGAAACTGGTTAATCCAGTGCAAGCAAATGCTAATGTTAAGAAAGGGTCAACCATGCAACCTGATAAACCATTGCAAGATCCTTTGATGGAACCTTTACAAGCTACTTCAGTAAACAAAAAGAATATTGGTTCCAAAAAATTGGTTAATCCAGTGCAAGCAAATGCTAATGTTATGAAAGGCTCAACCAAGCAGGCAGAAAAGAAGCAAGCTGAGGAACCAGCCACCAGTCGTGCGGTGGTGCCTTCACAAGGATCCACAACAGCTCAATCAAACAAAAAGGATATTGAGTTGAAGAAAGTAGTACGTTCACAGCAAGCTAATTCCAATATTAATAAAGAGAAATCTAAACTGACAGAAGATGAGCAACCGAATGAGCCATTAGAAGAACCTTTATTAGAACTACCTTCCACCTCTGCTGCAGCTCAAGCATATATAAAGAATATTGAATCCAAAAAGGCAATTCTTAATCGAGCGGTTACGGCTACTACACTAATAGAAAAAACTAAATATTCGCAAGTAAACACAAAAGGTGACATAAACATGAAAGATATTGATGCTAAACCTGGAATAGCTACAAAGCCGGTAAATGCTAAATTAAAAGAAATCACTGAACAGAAAGAAAAAAAGCAACTTGATAAAGTAGTAATTTCTACAAACAAAAAGAATGTCGAATCCAAAAAAGTAGTAACTCCAAGGATGTCAGTCACTAAACAAGCAGAGAAAAAGCAAGCTGAAGAACCATTGCAAGGTCGCAAAGGAAAAACAATAGCTGAACAAAAATCTGATAAAAAACAATTTATGGAGTCTCCAGAACAATCTACAGCAACTTCTGAAAACAAACAAATCGAGTCTAAAAATGTAGTGATTCGAAAGGCTACAGTTACTACCACTAAACAGAAGGAGATTATAAAGACTAAACAGAGAGATGAAGCAGTGAATGAATGTTTTGTAAAACTTCCACCGAGATCAACTACAAGTCCTGTGGGTGGAAAGGGTACAGATTCCAAAAAGGTAATATTACCAAAACGCGCAGTTACATACACTAAATTTAAAGGAAAAACTGAACAAAAACAAGAAAAGAAACTTAATAAACCACTACAAGATCCTATACTGGAACCACTGCCAAAAACTGCGGCTGGTTCAGTAAAGCAAATGCCAAAGCGAGCTGACACTTATGTAATAAAACGGAAAACTGAACAAAAAGATAAAAAACAATTAGATGAGTCACCGCAAAATTCCCTGATGGAATCTCTGCAAGAATCTGCAACAACTTCCGCAAGTAAAATAACTATTCAATCCGACAAGGGATCAATTTCTAAGGAGTTAGGAAGTGGTGCTTCCACTAAACAGAAAGAAATAAATGAAAGAAAACAAAAAGCGGGAAAGCAATCCAATGAGCCATTGCAAGATCTTTCTGTGGTGTGTCCAAAGCGATCTACTACAGCTCCTGCATGCGGAAAGGCTATGGAGTCTAAAAAGATAGTAATTCCAAAGCGGGCAGCGACGTGTACTAGATTTAAAGAAAAAATCGAACGGAAAAAAGAAAAGCAGCCAGAATCTCCACAAGAGTCTACCGCAATTTCTGAAAAGTCAAAGGATGTTGATTGTCAAAAGGAAGTATTTCCTAAGCGGGTTATTACTCAGACTAAACAAAAAGAAATAAAAAAAATCGAACAAAAACAGTCTCCTTTGCAACGGTTCACAAGATTTTCTATGAGCAGAAAGTTAATTGAACCAAAAAAGGTAGAAATTTCAAATCAGACACTCGCTTCTACTAAACCAAAGGTTAAAACAGAAACTGAGCCGGAAACAGAGAAACAACTTGATGAGCCACTACCAGATTCTTTAGCGGAATCTCCACAAAAATCTCCGGTAACTTCTCAAACTAAAAAGATAGATATTTCAAAGCGGGCAAGCAGTTTTACTAAACTAAAACACAAACCTGAAACTGAACGCAAAGAGAAAAGTTTACAACAGACACTAGCTTCTACTAAACCAAAGGTTAAAACAGAAACTGAGCCGGAAACAGAGAAAGAACGTGATGAGCCACTACCAGATTCTTTAGTGGAGTCTCCACAAAAATCTCCGGTAACTTCCCAAAATAAAAAGATAGATATTTCAAAGCGGGTAAGCAGTTCTACTAAACTGAAACGCAAACTTGAAACTGAACGCAAAGAGAAAAGTTTAGAACAGACACTTTCTTCTACTAAACCAAAGGTTAAAACAGAAACTGAGCTGGAAACAGAGAAAGAACTTGATGAGCCACAACAAGATTCATTAGTGAAATCTCCACAAAAATCTCCGGTAACTTCCCAAACTAAAAAGATAGATATTCCAAAGGCGGCAAGCAGTTCTACTAAACTAAAACGCAAACTTGAAACTGAACGCAAAGAGAAAAGTTTACAACAGACACTAGCTTCTACTAAACCAAAGGTTAAAACAGAAACTGAGCCGGAAACAGAGAAAGAACGTAATGAGCCACTACCAGATTCTTTAGTGAAATCTCCACAAAAATCTCCGGTAACTTCCCAAAATAAAAAGATAGATATTTCAAAGCGGGTAAGCAGTTCTACTAAACTGAAACGCAAACTTGAAACTGAACGCAAAGAGAAAAGTTTAGAACAGACACTTTCTTCTACTAAACCAAAGGTTAAAACTGAAACTGAGCCGGAAACAGAGAAAGAACTTGATGAGCCACTAGCAGATTCTTTAGTGGAGTCTCCACAAAAATCTCCGGTAACTTCCCAAACTAAAAAGATAGATATTTCAAAGCGGGTAAGCAGTTCTACTAAACTAAAACGCAAACTTGAAACTGAACGCAAAGAGAAAGGTTTAGAACAGACACTAGCTTCTACTAAACCAAAGGTTAAAACTGAAACTGAGCCGGAAACAGAGAAAGAACTTGATGAGCCACTACCAGATTCATTAGTGAAATCTTCACAAAAATCTCCGGTAACTTCCCAAATTAAAAAGATAGATATTCCAAAGCGGGCAAGCAGTTCTACTAAACTAAGAGGCAAACTTGAAACTGAACGGAAAGAGAAAAGTTTAGAACAGACACTTTCTTCTACTAAACCAAAGGTTAAAACAGAAACTGAGCTGGAAACAGAGAAAGACCCGGATGAGCCACTACCAGATTCATTAGTGAAATCTTCACAAAAATCTCCGGTAACTTCCCAAATTAAGAAGATAGATATTCCAAAGCAGGTAAGCAGTTTCACTAAACTAAGAGGCAAACTTGAAACTGAACGCAAAGAGAAAAGTTTAGAACAGACACTTTCTTCTACTAAACCAAAGGTTAAAACAGAAACTGAGCCGGAAACAGAGAAAGAACTTGATGAGCCACTACCAGATTCTTTAGTGGAATCTCCACAAAAATCTCCGGTAACTTCCCAAACTAAAAAGGTAGATATTCCAAAGCGGGTAAGCAGTTCTACTGAATTGAAAGACAAACTTGAAACTGAACGCAAACAGAAAAAATCTGTTGCAAATCCGTTGCAAGATTATGTCATGAAACCTCTGCAACGATCTTTAACAACTCCATCAAACAAACGGACTATTGAGTCTGAAAAGATACATATTCCAAAGCGGGCAGCTACTGATACTAAACCAAAATTAAAAATTGTAACTGAACAGAAAGTACAAAAGCAAATACAGAAAACCGTGATGAAATCTACTCCAGGAATTGCAGCAGGTCTTACTAATAAACGCATTGAATCTAAAAAGGTAATTATTCCAAAGCGTGCAGTTAGTTATAGTAAACTTAAAGTGAAAATAGAATCTAACCAGAAAGTTGAAAAGCAACCGGGGCCATTCCAAAAGTCTTCAGTGAAACCATCTTCAGCTATGCCGGGAAATAAGAAATCAGAGTTATCATTGAGTGGTAAGCGTTCAGAAACTGAAAGAAAACCAAACTTAATGAAAGGTGGTTTGACGGAACCTCAGCAAGCAGTTACAACAAATTATAAAACCTTGGAAAGTGAATTGATGAAAGAAAGTTCTTCCCATTCATTACAACCACAGCAATCGGTCACATCAGGAGATGAAGTAAACAGCAAGAAAGTAGAGTCCTGTACGGTATTAAGTGCAAAGCAATCATCTATTCATGACGGTTTCATGACGAGTATCGCTGAAACTGAAGAGAAGATTGAAGAACCTCTGGTCACAAAGGATACTGATAGCGAAGCAGTTATTGTTACAAAACCAGACAATTCAAGTGAGAATTTAAAAAGTAAAACGGACGAACCATTGCAAGATATTGCTTTGAATGAAACTAAATTACCACCTATGCAGCGGAAACAAGATGAATGTGAGAAAAAAAAATTGTGTGATTCATTTCGTGATTTAAAAATATCTGCGCAGGGATCTAAAGTAGCATTGACTCGTAAGACCACAATTCAATCAAATATAGTTGCAAGTTCTAGTTCAAAGCCCACTTTAAAAAAAACAAACCTGAATGCACCTAAAGACATGAATAAACCTTCAAAGGAAGTCTTTAGAAAACCAGCGATTCGGCTAAATAATACAGCTAAGCCACTTGCAGCAAAACGTGTTGTGACTTTCGCGAAATCTAAAGAAATCATTGAATATAGAGACGAGAGTTCAGACTCACCATCACGCAGTAGTTCATTGAAATCAAAACATTCTAAACAGAAAGATAAACATTCTAGTACTTCATTGCATGGCAAACAATCGAGTTCAAGACGATTATCCACTTTCACGAAAATAATCAAAAAAATGGATAGTGAATCGAATGACACGGGTTCTGATGACCTGCTAAAAAAGTCTCTCGAAGGGCCATCGCAAGCATCTGCAGCAGGTGATATAGGTAAGCATTAAGATTTATTTATATTTTCTATACATATTATCTGTAATGCGATTTCTTTGCAGGCTTGAAAACCAAGAAACAGGAAGAGGACGACATTACAAAAGCAGTGTTTGATGCTCTCCGTGAGCTGAATATGGAACTTGATTATATTCCTATTGAATTACGAAATGGGACACCTGACGGTGATGGGATCAATAAATCTGACGAAAAAATTACCAATAAATTAGATGGTTCAGAAGTTGAAGAAACTTTTGGTAAGCGTTCTATTTCAACTACAACTTTCGTGAAATCTTCTCCCAGTGTTGACGGTTTGGTTGATATTGATGAAGGCATAATAGAACCCAGTGATTCAGTCAAAAATGATACAGATGTACAAAAACCAGAAATGGATAAAAAGGATGCTGTTGCTGAGCCTGATTCAAAATTAGAACGCAAAACCACAAAACCTATCTCAAACATACAAGCAGCCTCTATTAATAAGACGCGAAGGCAACCGTTTCAATATGCAAAGCCAGTTATTCCTTTAAGAGATCGGGCAGGTTTTCAAAAATCTTTGGCAGAGCTTCCAACATATGGTGCAGTTAAAAAGCCATATGTTCCAGGGCGACTTCCAAAATCGAATACTAAACCTGATTTAGTTAAACAAAAGCCAGGCATATCAAAAGGTGAACTTATATTTCAATGAAAACTTAAATGTCTTTTAATTTATTTAAATTTTTTATATTTAGTCACAGAGAATAAATTAAAGCAAGCACAAAAGCAAACAAGCGCTAAAGGTTCAATTCCTAAAGGGATACATCCCAATGCGTCACCTCGTATTAATGTCTCAGCAGCACGAGCAGCTGCAGTGACAAATAAGGTAAATATCAATCGTAAATCTTTGATTCCGAAACCTCGTCCACCACTTGATAGGAACACATCTGTTGGAAAAAAATTTCCACCGTACAATCGTGCTAAAAATGAAAATTTGAAAAGTAAACCTACTACGCCAATTTGTGCAACGAAACGGATATTAGATAATGATAATGTGAAGACTACTGTAGCTTGTAAAACTAAAACCGTTAAATGGAGTCAAACAGTTGAAATAAAGCAGAAAGCACAAATATCCTCAACTAAATCTAAAACTGCAAGTCAAAGTCCACGACGTCAATTATCGAGTCAGGGTCCGAAAACATCACCACGTAAGACAAATTTTATGTTGAATGCAAACGTAGACTTAAGCTCATTGAATGCTAAAGGCATTTCTATGCAAAAGAAGAAACGTTTCCATCTTAATTCTAATCAAAACAACAGAATATCAGTTGTTAATGGATCAGTTAATATTGGATCAACAAAGAAATACTATGGATTAAAAACCGATAAATCGCATTCTTCCAATGTTGTCAAAGCAAGGCCAGGTATTTTGAAACCTTCTCGTTCTGTTAATAGTTTGGAGTCCCAACAAAAACCTGACAAGACACGCTTGTCTACAATACATAAGAAAAAGTTCGTAAGATTCAAACAGAAGATTTACGAAATCGAACCAAAAAAAATGGAAGCTGAACCAATACTTCTAGTTCAACCAGAACCAGAGCCGGTTCCAGAAGTTATTTTACCAAAGGCTTTCGTTAGCAAGAAAATAATTGAATCCTTACCAAATCATGACACAGAATATCTAGAAAAAATTGCTTTACTTAGATTAAAATTGGAAGCAGATATATATGCTGCTGATTGTAAATGGGTTATGTTTGTAGCAGCAGCCTACTCGTATAATTGCGATATTCGTCTCAATCCTTATCCAGCACAATATAAAGGATACGATGGTAAAATTGATCAGACGCGACTTCTATCTGATATAGATGACGTTCCAAAGTTACAGAGAGTTTGGGAGATATTAAAGCATCATGAGTACAACAGACTTAAACCACATGTGCTGTTTTTATTGCATTTTGTATTAGTTGAACATGATTATGTCGGCTTGGAATCAGTACTTCTGAGCAAGGTACAAAAAATAGTGCATATTAATTTTGAGAACGACAGAGACCGGGCTCCCAATTTTATTTTTAGAGTTAATTATAGTCTGAATACCCCTCAGGAAATGACTTTCCAAAAGAATAAGGAACTATTTGAACATAAACTTGGTTATTATAATACTCATGTCTCCAACTACCACAATCTTCTACACAATGGATTTCCTTGGTTAGAATCCATAATAGAAAGTGACGATGAAAGTGAAAATGCAAATGCAGATAAAAGCCAAAAAGAAAACGAAGAGCAAAATGAAAATGAAACCGAAAGTCAAAAGAAAAGCCAAAAGGAGACTCAAGAGAAGAGCCAAAAAGAGACCAAAAAGGATGCCAGAAAAGACAGCCAAAAAGACGGCCAAGGTGATGGCCACGGTGATGGACAAGGTGATAGCCACGGCTATAGCCAAGGTGATAGCCAATGTGATGGCCAAGGTGATGGTCAAGATGATGGACAAGGTGATGGCCAAAGTGATAGCCAAAAGGAGAAGGATAACGAGATCAAAAATCAAGAGGAAGATGAAGATGAATCAGATGATGATTCAATGATCGATGACATAATTTTAACCAAGGATTTGGAACCAGATATTGAAAACACAAAAGCTGGTTGGGGTAAATCAATGCTAGGATCATCATTTACTATTGTCGGGCTAACAAATTTCATCTTTGATCCTGACTATGTGGAAGCAATAAAAGATCCTGGCAATAAAAAAGTTACTATACGAATTACGAATCCAGAGTTGGCAGTAGTACGTTACATGTTGGTTTACGCCAAGCGTGATATATTTGATATGCCTGTTTACGATCCTAGCCCGATGGTCGTTACACCGACGCCTCAATATTATTGGTATGTGAGTGCGTTCTTATATGCGGCGGTGTTTGCAACTGCGGGCTACAAATTGCATTTGAGTGGAATACAACCTCCAAAACCGGCAATTGTGGAAATGTTCGATACGTTTTGTGATACTGCTAAGTATTGGGCACTAAAGAAAGCTGCGCAAATACTCAATTAAAGTACTTTAGGAAAATAAAAAAAACTAATATTAGGCACTAAAATTTCAAATTATTTCTTTAACTTTTTATCATTTTTCTAAATCATCAAAATTTTAAAATTGAATCAAAATTTACAAACCCGAAATTTACTCTTGTTAGAATGTGTTTTAATAAAGCTTCTATTTTGATAAAAAAAAAACCTTGGGTTAATTTTTTATACAAGTTCAACATTTCTAAAAAATTTTTTTTACTATTTTAGACTAGAAATTACTAATTTTTTTCAATTAAATGTTTTTATGTGAATTTTAAGTTGTTTTATCCCTCAAATGAATTTCTGTATACGTACCTTGTGATTAGATGATTAAGGTTTGGTGAAGTAAAGTGGAGAGAGGATCGAATCCTCTTCAATAATTCTTCTTCAATCCTCAATCTCGAAATAATGGGTAGTAGAATGCTCAATGTAGAACCAACCAGAAGCATTTATAGTGGCGAGAGTCTGGCCAATGCTAATGTTAAATATACCGCTTATTGTGTTAAAGATGAGGGCTCACAAAAACTTAAACCTGGTTCTAGACAAGCCGGGATATAGACACAATAGGCTCTTTTCTTCGAGCGCTGTTAAACTTGTACTATAGGTAGATATTACAGATAAGACCGAGTCTAGTTGCCTGTAAAATTAAAATACGAGCTTCAATTGTCTAGTTGAGAGCTCTGTAAACCAAACGGGACTTTTCATTTGGTGGCAATTAGGCGATCGGATAATACTGCATGATTCTGCCGTTAGTGAAACCAAGAGCAGAGTCCGGATTTAAAAGGCCGCGGGTGTTGATTTGTATAATTCATATAATAAAAAATACTGGCATTCAAAAAAAAACGCGATTTGTAGAATAATAGAAGACGATTTTAATTAATAGTTCTAAAACGAAAGAAGCAAAAATCTGAAAGATTTTTTTTTGTTAAAAAAAAACTCAATTCAATGTTAACCTAACCGGGACCACATGTGTGTTAAGTATATTAAAAAAAAACTGCAATTAAAATTAATATTAAAATGTTTAAAAAAACCTTTGTGTTCATAGATATTGTAATTATGATGACTGGAGTAACTATGATTTATTTGTCATATTTCTGCTGTAGTGGATTAGACAGAAAATGTCATTATTCTGAAGTTTACATATTTTAGATATACATTTTAATATTCATTACATATAATTTTTTTTTTTTTTGCAAAAATGTACTTCATTATTTTCTTTCTGGTAAATATTAAAACTTTAAACACTGGAATTACATACAAGTATTACATATTTTTATTAAGCGAACACATTTGGCTAAGGAAAAGTGGCGGATATGGCTTTATGGTGAGCTTTGTGAAGTGAAGATACGATTCCATTTCCTTTTGGTTGCCGACAGTAAGTAGCTTTTTAGGTGATACACATTATTTCTAATTTATTGCATTAGATAGAAGGAGAGCAAAAATATAGTGTGTCAGCATTCCGTGTGGTTCTCTACAAAATCCTTTATCCTAACAGTTGTTGTGCATAATGGAGTGCGCTGGTATCCTCTTAATATTCGTGCAAAGCATGCAGTTTAAGTTTGTGTATCTTCGGTTTATACATTTTAAAGCGACTACACATTAACTTCAAAGTCCTTAATTAATTTCAGATATTATTTTCAACATAAAAGCGTAATTTATCACTCTTAAATCTATGGTTACCTAAATAATTGTATATAGGTTATTTAAAAGTTATAATTACAGATTTTTTGACTGGTGGCATCTTTTGATTGTACGTCAATTTCTTAACTTTTATTTTAATAAACACCACAATTTCTACACAATTTTTGTTTCATTTCTTTGTCTAAATTTAAAATACATTGATTCGAAATATGTTCTATATGGGGTCTCGTATTAGAACGAATTTATTTGATTTCGTGGGCTCAAAGAATACGATTTTAAGGAACCTATTTTCAATAATCACAGATATACCGAAAAAAAAGTCAACTTGAAACCTTTTTTCATAAAATCTTTTAACATATTAGAAAAAGAAATTAAACTATTAGGACTTTAAAAAATTTTTATTTTGTATAAAATTATTAAATTTCCTTTAATTTAGAAATAATTTTATATCACATTAAAGTGTAACTTACTTTTAAATAGAGATGAGTTATATTAAAGTAATTTACTTATTTGGGCACTAAGATAAAAAATTATTTGAAACAACTCTTGCTGAATTTCCTTCAATTTCCTCTGAAACGCCCATACAGTCAACTGCTGTTTGCGTTCCAATTCATACGCTTATATCCATGATTCGTCACATTACAATATTATATATGTCTTTTGAAATACCGCCCTCCATCATTCTATTTCTTCTGCATTTGTATGCACCAATCGACACGAGAGCATTTTTTTTAGATTTTGTCAATTGTTGGGGGTTCCAACGGAACCAACCTTTCTCACGGCTAAATTATCGTGCAATATTTTATGTATGCTGGTGGAACTAATATCTAGGGTTTCGCCTTAATCTCAAGCTCACAGTATCGTCACAGTTGTATGACGATCTTGCATGACTCGTATCAGTTTTTGTACAGCATCAATGTTTTCTGGCACAACATCTGAATAGCTGATTTTGGACGATCTTCACGAATTTCAGTGAGGTCAGTTAGCACACTGCAGCAATGATTAAAGTCATGGTACGAGTATCAGCGTTTCGCAGGGGCAAAGGATGAACATTTTACTTCGTCGCCAAATGTGAAAGTAAGTTGATCGATACACTCTTGTCCCGATGATCTACGTCCGACGTCGAAAGTCGTAATAAATCATCTAAATCGTACGAAAATTTTCGCGCGTTAATTTTCGTATGGAAACATTACATTGTCAGATAATACATGACAACAATCAGTTTTACTAAGGCTTAAAATACAATGACCCTCGTATATTTTATTAAGAGATATTTCGATACATTTCGTATACCATCTTCTGTGTTATGCTTTATTTAGTGTAAAGAAAAAATAATATTTTTTTTAATATAAAAAATGTCAATAGTCACATAAATAATACAACAAAAAAAGTATGAAAAAGAGGAAAATAATTTTTAATAAGAATGGCAACCAGTCTTGTCGCAGTCAGAATGAAAACAAATTTTTAAAAATTGTACAAATAGAAATAAGTAGGTATATACTTAACATCACATTTTTAATTAATGATGTATAAATTTGAGCTAAGTCTTCAATATCTCTCTTGTGATTCAATTGTTGACCATCTGGTACATCAATTAACATATATGAAGGATTTCTAGCAGTGTTATACATTTGTAATTTTTCTTCCGGTGAAGAATTTTTACATCAAGGCTTTTTTTTCCCAGAATTTTTTCCCATAGTTGTTATTGGATATGTATTATCTTTACTTGTTGCTTGACTTTTTAGGATTTTTTTATGTTCAAATAAGAAAACTATGTATTACCAAAATTTCTTCTTCTGGTTCTTTTCTGTTTTTGGTTACATTATTATCTTCGGATTTGCTGTTTTTTATGTATTGTGTTATTGATAGAGATAGTTTTTTTTTTGGGGGGGGAGGGGTGCTTTTTTACTTGCATCTTATTTGAAACTGATAACTAAAAAATTTCTGTTATGAATTTTTTTCCCTTTATCCTAACAAATAACCTATTATATTTGTATTGATTAAATGTAGGACACTTTGTGTGTGCATAAATGAATTCTACTAAAAATTGAAGAACCTCTTTTTTAAATAATAAATTAAAAAAAATCAATGTCAATTTTTTCTTGGCAAGAGTGACGCGTTTTTATGCCGAAAGTGCATGTTGTATGGTCAGCCAAATTTCAATAAATTAAATAAAAATTTTATCCTTGTCTTTTCTTTGCTATTCGAACCCTGAATTATTTTAGTTGAATAATATTTTTCAATAAAAAGAATTAAGCTAAAAATAATAAAGAAAATTAACACTACAAAATCAATGAAGTAAAACTTAAAGAAAGTGTGAAAAAGAAATAAAAGGAAAAATAATAGAATATAAAGAAAAATAAAAAAAGAAAAAACCAAAAACCACCAAGCATATTTTTATTTAATAATAATTACACATAACAAATATATAAATAAAAGTGCTCAAATAAATTTACATATCAAAAAAATAAACAAGAGATAATATACACTCTGGACCAATTTATTACAAATTTAGAGAGAGATACGGTTTTAAACTGCTACGTAGCTACGACTACAAAACATTCTAAAAACATTTCATTCATGTGGAATCTTACAAACAAACCTATTCGAAGTATAAATGGCATATTCCATGCGTTTGGTATCCTAACGATTTGTACTCAAAAATAAATATTCCACAAAGAAAATCCCACTTTGAACATAAATTTGCATTTCTACTCTTTTTCGTTTTCTTGAACTGAAGAAAACAATGAAACCGCAGTCAATAGAAAAGTAATAAAGTGAATAAAAAGTATCTTTAAAAAAAATCTCAAAAAGAAAAGGAAACAGCAAGTTACTTAAGCGCCACCAATAAATTATTACGGAAATGTTTTACGGAAAAAGGGACTACTGGCAAGGAAGCGAACAACTGAATAGGAACCTTTATTTTTATTTTCATTTATTTACTTATTTTTTATTTTTTGTATATTTTGAAAAATCTCTGTTACTTTTATGTTTATATCAAAACAAACATTAAACATAATTTTTTTTATTTAATTTAAGCAGTTAAGGTGTTGTTCCGGTGCAATGGGCGGGAATATGTTATTAAAATCCCACAGTGATTAAACCAACATATTAATTTGCTGTATGAACTCCTTTTGAGATATTGCGGGTTATACGAAAAAATTTTACTTTTTTGCAATATTTTTCTTTAACATATAGGTTTAATATTGTTCATGAAGAAGTAAAATGATTCAAATCTAAAAAAAATAATATACAATATGAGGTCTCAAATTGTACAACGGTGCGTATGAGTAACAAATAATTGTGTGTGTGTTTTGCTTGAAAAGAGCCGCGAAACCAAATTTTTTGAATTGCAGGATTTATAAATTCAAAACTAAATAATAAAAGTAATTTTTAATTAAATTTCTTTAGTGAAATTGTCGACCACTTTATCTGAATCTACAGTAATACGAGTATCCAGTAAACCAACATATTTTTCAAGTTTTTATTAT